TGAGCCGCAACCCCGGGCATGTGCCCTGACCAGGGAATCGAACCACGATCTCCTGGATCCTAGGTTGATGCTTAACCGCTGAGCCACGCTGGCCGGGCAACCCTCATTATTTCTTTGAACAAGTTGGAGAAGCAACTTCAGGGACTGCCATTTTCAACCGGAATCAACACATTATAGAAAAAAATATATTTAATTAATAGTTGACTTCCAGCAGCTATGATCAGGCCTCCCTAAAGGCCTAATTTATTATCATAGGTGGGCAGACAAAATGTCTATGATTATAGGTTGTAAGGAAGTACATCTGAAAAAATATATTTTTCTCTTATATGGGTCTTCCTACAGTAGAGCATATTGTAGTGGTTGGAATAGGGTGGATTCTGCTGGAGTAACAAACCCCTGAAATCTCGGCAGCTTAACCAAAGTTTACTTCTTTCTCTTGTAAAGTCTACTGTAGCCCGGCTGGCATGGCTCAGCAGTTGAGCATCAACCTAGGATCCAGGAGATCAGGGTTTGATTCCCAGTCAGGGCACATGCCCGGGTTGTGGCCTTGATCCCCAGTATGGGGTGTGCAAGAGGCAGCCGATCAATGACTCTCTCATCATTGATGTTTCTGTCTCTCTCTCTCCCTCTGCCTTCCTTTCTCTGAAATCAATAAAGATATATTTAAAAAAAAGTCTACTGTAGATCCAGCAGCTCTCCAGGATAGCTCCCTTCCAAGCAGTGACTCAAGGATGTCTTTTGCTTTCACCTTGTGACTTCTCCATCTCAACACATGGCTTCTAAGGTCACCATAGCAGGAGAAGGAGGGAGTGCTTGAGGGTCACATATCAACTGTAACTGCTTCAGTCTGGACATGGCACACATCATCTCTGCTCCCGGCCTGTTGGTCAGAACTGGCTCTACCTGACTGCATCGGGGTGGAGAGACGTGGGGCAGAACGTGTTCTCTGGTGAACATTTTCCTGCTTCATATGGTTCTTTGGTTTTAATGCACATATCCCATCTTCTAGCTCCTGAATGACTTCATAGCTCGGAGATTGGCCAGTTTATCTGAAAGCACAAACGAGCATGATGTGTTATGGATCTATCAGCTATTGACACACAGTGGCCAGCACTTCGGGCTAATAGGTTGAACAGACATATTACCTCAGAGGTGTTGTTTGGGGGACTTTCCTCTAAAAGTAACATCTTATACTTGGATACAAGCCATTGGTTCTTTTTCTACTTGCTGACATTATCTTGTGAAATCTGGTAGATTTCTAAGTGTTGTCCTCAGACCACCTGTGTCATAATCAGCTGGAGAATTTGTAAAAAATGCTGGTTCTAGGAACTACACCGGATCTTCTGAAACAGAATTTCTTAGGGTGGGGCCCAGGAAGCTGCATTTTTAATAAGCTCTCTAGAGGATTCTGAGGTACCCTAAAATTTTAGGATTACTGTCCTATGGTATATGGCATTTACCACCTAATGCAATATTATTTAACTTCCTTATATGCATGCCTTATTTCTCCATCTAGATAAGATTCCCTAGGTAAAGGTTTATACTTTTGCTAGATGGCAATTGTATTTTCCAGATTACAAACCAAATTTGGAGTGGGAGTGGTATTAGCCTAGTCCTGATTTCAAATAATAATGACAGATGTTACTTGAGTGCTTATTAGGGGACCAGATTATCTCATTTAATATTCATGATAACCTTGCAAAGTAGACGTTTGAAAGAAACAGTTTATAAACAAGGCTTAGGGAAGTTAAATAAATAGCTACAGGGCATAGGACTAGAAATTGCAGAACTGAATTTGCACTCAGGCATGACTGACTCCAAAGTCTTAACCGTCTCACCACCTTTTGCTANTAGCTACAGGGCACAGGACTAGAAATTGCAGAACTGAATTTGCACTCAGGCATGACTGACTCCAAAGTCTTAACCCTCTCACCACCTCTTGCTGTTGCCTGACCTTTACTTGACAGTGCCCTGGTTTGGGATTCAAAAGATAGGGTCGTTCCGCTCTCCTTGCTCGCAACCTTCTGCACTCGTGGACATCAGGCACTCCATCCATGGGTGTAGTTGATGCTATTTTACTATACTTAAGAGCTAATAAAAAGTTTAGATGAAGAGTCTTAGCAATTGAAAAGGCTTTTTGAAAGAGAATAGTAAAGAAATATTAATTTCTTCAGTACTTACATCTACTGTGAGATGGCTTCTCTGAGTTAGCCAGAGGAATTTGGGTAGGAAAAACCTTCCCTTGTGCCCTGGCTGGTGTAACCTAGTTGGTTGAGCAACGTCCCATGCACCAAGAGGTCACTGGTTCAGTTCTCAGTGGGGGCACATGTCCCAGTTGTGGGCTTGACCCCCAGTATAGGGCGTGCAGGAGGCAGCCATTCAGTGTTTCTCTCTGTCATTGATGTCTCTCTCTCTTCCTCTCCCTACCTCTCTCTCTCTCAAATCAATAAAAAATATTTAAAAAACAAACAAACAAAAAAACCTTCCCTCTCTCTTCCTTTGGCTTGCCTCATGGGTACAGTTGAATTGAGTTAATATCAAAACAAGCATTTAAAAAGTGAACACTGAGTTCTGTTCATTGGGTTTGTGGGCTAAGAAGGAGGACATGCTCCCAGCCACGCATCCCTTACTCCTAATTGTAACTGCTCTGAAACCTTATTTTCTTTAATCTGGCTTTCTGCACCCCCCTTTGACTCAAACTGGCCTCACCCAGTGCCTGGACTCACCCACCTCCCTCTCCCTTGCTTAATCATTAAGCCCTCAGGACAGTGAGGCCCCGGTTAGCATCCAGTAGTCTTAGGAACAAGGACCTCGGTCTACTGACTACAGAGGCAGAGTTTTCAACCAAACTAAAGATAATATCTTGGCCTCATTTGTTAGCTCTGTGCCCAGAAAAGCAGAAGGAGCCCACTGAACAGATCCTTGCAAACACAGAAAGAACAACTCCGTGGCTAACATCAGGACCAGATGCAACGATCAATTACCCCTAGCCCCACCAATCAATAGAGACCATGGCCTCAACTCCTTTAGTCACTATGATTAATGATTTTTTCCCTATATAATCCACCCCCTGGAAGCCACTGGGGGAGCCAGGTTTTTGAACATCAGCTCACTTGTGACTCCAGGCATGGTGCCATTTTCTTAATAAATCCTTACTATCTTGGCTGCAAACTCCTGTTCCTGACTTACTGGGCTTTGATGCGCACAGGCAAATGGACCCCTTCAGTCTGGTAACATGAGCCCAAGGCTGGTTAGTCTTGCAGTCCAGGCTTGTTCTCTTAGGAGGTGCATCTGGTGTCAGATGTGTGGGTTTAAATGACTATCTTGTGCCAGCTGTCTGCTTTCGAGCTCAAGTGATTACTTGTTCCCGGGCGTTTGAAGGGGCTGAGCTGGGTGTCATAGCGTCGGCCATATAGGCAGTGTGCGCAGCAGCCGTGGACTTTCTCCTGGCTCCTCTTCAACGGGAAGGCACCTCCTGCTGCTGCACTGCCCAGTCCTTGAAGCAGGACTCTCATTAGCTGATTTCCTCCCAAGAACCAGTCAGAGAGGCAGAGCCCCAACGACAGTTGCTTCTAGAGCTTTATAGGTCTCAGGGATTCAAAGAGCACTAATGCCCAGGGATGAAGAGACTCAAGCCAGAGTTCTTGCTCATTGTGGCAGAGGTACCTCGGATACGTCATTCATTTGAACCCAAACCTCAGCTCTTCTTTCCCAGGGTGAGATCATCATAACGACTCCTTTTAGAAAATGTCCCAAATGTAGGCTCGCACTTTTATCTTCCTCTCCTCAAGGTAAGGCAGTAATAAACAGAACTTTAAGATACCTATATGTACCTCATTGTAAAGCACTACATTATCTTATTTCCATCGTCAATACTTACAGCAAATCTGTGGATCGTTTTTAGCCATTTTTACGATTTTTTTTAAACATCGTTCACAGATATTGATCCCAGGAATGGAATCCCGAAGTTAACTCCAGGAGATAATCCATATATGTACCCAGAACAGAGTAAGGGCTTCCACAAAGTAGGATCAACTCTCCCACCAGTGAATTTTTCATTGTAAGTATATGCTAATACTAGGTTATATAGTTAAATTTAAAGCAATTGTATCTTTCTCTACTACATATAAATGATATTATATTTATTTATTTTTAATGGATTTTGTGTGTTTTTAAAAATATGTCTTTATTGATTTCAGAGAGAGGAAGGAGAGGGAGAGAGAGAGATAGAAACATCAATGATGAGAGAGTCATTGATCGGCTGCCTCCTGCACGCCCCCCAACGGGGATCGAGCCCACAATCCGGTATGTACCCTGACCAGGAATCGAACTGCGATCTCCTGGATCCTAGGTTGATGCTCAACCACGGAGCCATGCCTAGCCAGACTATAAATTGTATTTTAGAAAGGGTTGATATCAACAAAACATGGTTGGTAAAAATTCCTAAGAACGTCCATATGTAGTTCATTAGTGCATGCACACATATGAGTGTATAATTAAAATTATACACAGGACCTTTACTACAAAAAAGTGATTGTTAATTTTTTTTTTAATCCTTACTCAAGAGTATTTTTTTCCGNTCCTGGATCCTAGGTTGATGCTCAACCACGGAGCCATGCCTAGCCAGACTATAAATTGTATTTTAGAAAGGGTTGATATCAACAAAACATGGTTGGTAAAAATTCCTAAGAACGTCCATATGTAGTTCATTAGTGCATGCACACATATGAGTGTATAATTAAAATTATACACAGGACCTTTACTACAAAAAAGTGATTGTTAATTTTTTTTTTAATCCTTACTCAAGAGTATTTTTTTCCGTTGCTTTTCAGAGAGAGTGGAAGGGAGAGAGACACATCTATTGGTTGCCTCCAGCATGTGCCCCAACTGGGATTGAGCCTGCAACCAAGGTACATGCCCTTGGCCAGAATCGAACCCGGACCCTTCAGTCTGTGGGCTGAAGCTCTAACCACTGAGCGAAATCAGCTAGGGCTGTGGTTGTTAATTTTATTCCTATTGTTATTACCACAGATCTGAAGACTTTTCAATTTTCATACCAAATCACGTTGTTGATTAGTGACTACTAGTTAGGTTCACTTACACTTGGAACTAAACTTAGTGTAAGTAAACTTAGTCCAAAGTGACTGAGGAGAAAGGGAGGATCATTAAATTAAAAGAAAAATAGTTGGTGTATTACATTAAAAATACTAATTAAAAAATGAACTATGTTTGATTTAATGATGCTTACTAAAAATGATAAAACTAATAAGAATTTGTCCCTTATAGTTTTGAAGCCCATACATGACAATTAAAATGGGCACTTATTTTTAATTTTTAAATTTTTATTTATTTATTTTTTAGAGTGGAAGGGAGGGAGGAGTGGGGGGAGAGAGAGAGAAACATCGATGTGAGAGAGACACATCAATTGGTTGCCTTCTGCATGCACCCCCACTGGGGCTGGGGAACGAACCTGCAACCCAGGTACATGCCCTTGACCAGGAATTGAACCGGTGACCCTTCGGTGCATGGGCTGATGCTCTAACCACTGAGCCAAACTGGCCAGGGTAATTTATTTTTTTATATTCATATTGATAAAGGCTTTTTATTTTTATTTTTTAAATTTAATTAAAATTTTCCCATCATCATTTATCCCTTCTGTGCTCTCCTCTACCTCCACCCATGCCCCTCCACCCCCAAAAGCACCACACTGCTGTCCATGTCCTAGAGTTCGCTCTCTTTCCCCCC